CCTTTCCTCCCCCAGGAGGCACTATTCCCTGTTCCCCCCAGCAGGCACTATTCACTGTCCACACTGCAGTAAGAATAGACAAGAAAGAAAACAGAAACCACTAAGGATAAAAAAGCCTGACAGGTAAGAGAGACCCATCATCTGATGCTGTTTTGTAGGCAGCACCAGGTTCAAGGCTAATCAAGTTTAAATTATTATCTGACCAAAATTATGGCTCAGGGAGCTGTTGATGGTTGGAAATGGAAACCTGGGAGGGTGTTCATAGGTAGTTTCAGTTCTTACACTGAAAATAGGGTATTTACATAAATGGACTGTTGATCTAGATATGAATATTGATATTGCCCTTTTATAACACTACAGTATGAAAACCTGTTTTGAGCTTAGTCCCAGTTATCTGGCCTCACCATTTCACACAGTAAGATCAGAGATAGAAGCCATCACAACCCGGGAGAAAAATTAAGATGAGGAAAAATAAACCCTGGTATGCCCTGGGAAGAAGAAAGAAGAAGGGGAATTACCTGCTGCGGATCTGTTACGATCCCTCATTTCTTGCAGCTTCTGCATTTCTTTCTTCAGTGGCTCACTCAAGTCTGTATAGCTCAGCTGAAGACGCCAGGAAGAGAAGAAATGTTACTTATCCTCCTTTCCCTGAAAGGAGGTAATTCTCCTTTCTCTTCCGCTTCCACTCCCCACTTTAAGTTGTCAGTCCCTTCAGATAACCCTGTTTTTGGAAACTGGATTAGTAGACTCTGGCCATCATCCTAGAATGGGAATGGCTGCAAATTGCCAAGCCCAGGCTCAAAAGCCCAGGAGAAAGTATAGCTAAACACACAGCTGCAGCTGCGTTCTACCTCTGATCCTAAGGAAAGAAACCCCACAGCAGATTCAAATAAAAATGCTGCAGGTTTTTGCACTAACACACCTTTTCTGACCTTCAGCATACCTACCAATTACACTAAGTGAGGACAGAGCCAGAGAAAGCAAGATCTGAGCTTGAGAGAACCAGAAAGCTGCCACCTGCAGAATCAAAGGCTACATTGTCCCTCCCATAAGACACAGAAAGGCTGCTGCCCTGGCTATAGCACACTGCAGGTATTTAGCCTGCATAGGGACATCTAGTCTATCCACTCTAGTCAGAATTACCTTGCAGGAGAAGGGATTGTTGGACAAAAATGCAATCAGGAGCTGGATCGCATTTTTAACTACTACCACAGCTTTGTCTTGAAGACGCTCAACAGCCAGCGATACCACAGACTGAAACTGAGTCAGAGGCAGGGCCTAATGCAAAATGAGAGCAGAGACAAAGTTATTAAGAAGGCTGAGAGACTCAGAAAAGTTATTTTACTGCAGACATCTTAATATACTAAAAGGCACAGATTACAGATTTATATAAGAATGTCTAGGTCGGAAGGGGTCTCTGGATATCTTCTGGTCAACCTCTGTTGAAAGGAAGGACTTATGTTATCTGTTGAGTCTTAGCCTACCTAGCAAGGGTGATGTTTTCCCATACCAATGTCCACTGTGCTCTTCTTCCTAGTCTGTCCCATTAATGAAGAACAGCATTTAATTTGTATTCCCCAGTTCCCTCGCCCCTAGGATCTTTGGTCTCTTGAGAAAAAGATACCACAGACACCACACTATACAGGGACAATACCCTTCTCTGTTAAACTCCAGCCTCTGTAAACAAAGAGCAGGGTGACAGAAATTCCTTAGAAAACACAGCAGGGGAAGGTATGACTAAAGCAAGACCATTTCCTTAGCACAGACTGACCTTGCACTGAACGATTCGAGTGAAGAGCTGCAGCACTCGACTGCGTACAAAGCTGTTGATATCACAGACATGGGCCTGCAGCATGGTCAGGAACTGGTCCCGAGTACCACGGGCAGCTTCCTCCAGCTGGTCACCATTTAGCACCTGCACCAGCACTTCTGCCATAGCTGCCAGAATGGCATTTCGCATCATGTAACTCTGAAAAAGAAGAGCTGTTGAACCAGGAACAGACAAAAATACATGACTCGATATGTCAAGGGGAAGTATGGCCCAAAACTTGGGCCTTCTAAGCTCCAGGCCCCAGCCTTAAGTGAATTTCTCCATTACAGATTTTGGGTGAACATGACTGCCTGCAAGACAGAGTAATCCAACCCTGCTGTCCAGCTAGGTCCACAGAAGCCAAGAACTGAGAAACACTTAATGGCTTTTAAGAACAGTTTAAGAAAAAGTAACTCAATGACAAACTCATTAATGACTGAAAAACAAGAGAGAGCAGCTGGGATCTCCCACAGTAAGCAGTTTTCTGTTCCCTGATATGCAAGAGTGACAACCAGACAGAAGATATCATGGTTTCTGTTTCTTTGCATCTTTAGGTAAGGGCATGCTTTGGCTATTTGATCTCTGTGAAAGAGGTTCTGTTTTCAGACAGAAAAACTGGATTGCAGCATCTCCACCAACTGACTTCTCTGGAAGTGGGAATGTACCTCTCCATCCAAGTGGCGCAGGAGAACGCTCATGTTTGATAGCACCAGAGCTGGAATCTGTTCAGCCAGTTCAGTTATAAAGACAGCATAACCCTTCATCACAGAAGCATCATGAGCCAGATCCTGAGGACATTTCTGTCCCACTTCCCTGCAAAGAAAAACGAAATAAGGAATAGGGTGCCTCAAGTTGCTAGGGATAGAAGGACAGGCCTTGGGGTATTTCTCACCTTAGCAATTCACCCACCAGGCTTTTCAGACCGTACTCTTTAACCCAGAGGCTTACTGCCTGTGCAAACACTGGGGCTACATGCTCAAAGTGCTGCAGCATCTGTGTGATCTTCAGAGTGGCATCTTTTGTATGTGAGAAGGAAGAAAGAGGTCAGGGAAAGCAACTGGGATTATCTTCAGGAAGAATGCAGAGGAGCAGGAACTCACTGAACATATGATCATAGTGAACCAGAGCTGCAGCAAGCAGATGTGTCACAGCCTCCCGTGTGGCCCGGTACTTCTGAAGACCAATAGCTGGATTCTCTAGGATACGGTAGGAGCTTCCTGTAATTAAGCTGAAGTCACAGAAGACAGACAGCAAAACTCACAATCACAACTTGCACCAACATCATTCTAGCACACTGCATTTCTCTCGAACCTGATATTTTCCAGTATCCTTAAAAAATTGAGGAATAACACCTAAATTTGAGATGCCTACATAAGGAAAGGGAGTGGTTCCTCAACATATTGCTTTTGCCTCAAGACAGTGTCCTCAGTTTCCCAGCGACCTGCACCCTGCAGAGGGCTGTAATGCTACCTCAGTGGCAGATTTAACATTTAACTCCCCCTTCCAGAAAACCAATCACTCACCCCACCTCTACATCCATGCCATACCATACCTGACAAACTCTTCTTCCACCACGAAACCACCCCAAAGCTGACGGAGATCCAGCTGCAGCAGCTGTGTGAGCAGCCGTAAGACCGGCTCCCTCTCCTCTTCCCATAAGGATCCAGAGGTCTTGTGACGGTTCTTCTTGTTCTAGAAAGGAGATTACACAATGCAATACATCAGCAGCTTGACAACAGAAAAAACACCATCACCACCCTGCTTCCCTCCAAAAAGAAAATGATGGTTATTCTAAAGCATATGATAAAAGCAAATGATGCTTATTCTAAAACATTAAGGGACATACAGCGAAATGCATGACAAGTTTATATACCCACATCAAATGACCATTTTCACCACAGAAAGGAAGTCTTGAGAAAATATTCATAGAATGGTTAGGGTTGGAAAGGACCTTAAGATCATCAAGTTCCAACCCCCCTGCCGTGGGCAGGGACACCTCACTCTAAACCGTATCACCCAAGGCCTCGTCCAACCTGGCCTTGAACACTGCCAGGGATGGAGCATTCACAACTTCCTTGGGTAACCTATTCCAGTGCCTCACCACCCTGACAGGAAAGAATTTCCTCCTTATATCCAATCTAAACTTCTCCTGTTTAAGTTTTAACCCATTACCCCTTGTCCTATCACTACAGTCCCTAATGAAGAGTCCATCCCCAGCATCCCTATAGGCCCCCTTCAGATACTGGAAGGCTGCTATGAGGTCTCCATGCAGCCTTCTCTTCTCCAGGCTGAACAGCCCCAACTTTCTCAGCCGATCTTCATAATTCGTACATTAACTACCAGCCAGACACTGAAAAGTGAAAAAGAGAGGCCTGGGCATCTGAGTCCCTGCTGGTATTTGGATACGTATTGTCCCTTTAGCTATTTTCCACATACAGTTTCACAGAAACACCGGTACTCCGCACTGTTACTGCCAAAGTTGGTCAGAGAAACTCTTTAAGATTTGATGTTTTAGAAAGCAGGCATTCTTTATTGCAGAGCTGGGGTCTCTTGTGGTCACCAATAATCCTCTTCGCTGTGTTCACTGACTGACCTCAGTGCTTGCATGCCCGCAAGGTCCTAGTCCTGACCTAGTGCTATGTCCTTGCTTTTGTTCTGTTCCAGTCTCTGCAATCTTGAAGGCTAGCATCCTTGGTCTTATTTACTGCCTCCTTAGTTACCAGTCCCATGATGTTCCTTCCCCTGTCAGATGAACATTCCTTACTCCCTTCATGTCACCAAGTTAAAACAGTTTGCTGTATTTTCCATGTTAATTTAAAGTCATACACATTATTGTTAGTTTGAACCTATAAGCCTACAGCATCACGCTCTGATATAACACTGGATAGATACCAGAGAGTCCAGCAAGCTTACATATTTCCTACTTTATGACCTTATTTTCCCCCAACACACCTCCAACAAACCACTCTTGCAGGTTTCCGTTCCAAAGGCGTCCATCAGGCCAGTCAGCAAGTAGCAGTTCATCTTGAGAGCATTGAGGTGAGCAACACGGTCTTCATGGCTCAACCCAGAACCACCCAAGATGGCAGGAAGTTCATTGGAATGATGGGATACCACTGAAGAAAAGCAGAACGTTATGAGCACTCCTCGCCAGGCCCCTCAGCTATCCTCTCTTTCAGGGAGTTAGCGCAGTCATCAGATTACCAAAGATGTGTGCTCACATCTCACCAGCTGTAATGTGGGCTGCCCCCTACAACCCAAACCTGTTTTTTCTCACTAGCCTACCCTGTCCCCATAGCCCCCTGCCAGCTCATGGAAAAACTCACTCAGAGCTGATGCATCCCAAAGATGTATTTTCCAGGGATGCGGAGAAGGGGAATTTTTGTCGGCCTGCCCTTACAGCGAACAGGCACAGCTCAGCATTGTCCACCAAGATTACAGGCCCGTATTACTGGAATGGGCTGAGGGTGCAACCCAGCTGGTCAAGTCACATTAGCCTTTATATCATCATTGAGCTGCCAAAGGAGAGCAACCTCTCCATCACTCCTGCTTCAGCTAGAAACAGCAGATACCCACCGCGCATCATCAGCTCCAGGGCATCCTCCTTGACAGCAGTCCCCACAGCTTGGAAATGGCTACAGAGCAAGCACAGTGCGTGAGAGCAGCGACTAAACACCACCAGGGAGAGGCGAGACGTGAGCTCCCAGGTGTACCCGCCTCCCCTTTCCCTGCTCTGTACTCACTGCAGCAAGCTGTACATGGGATCGAAGTGCTGCAGCACTGCCAGCGCGCCCCGCGCCCGGAAAGCGGTCCGAAAGGCTGCGGGGAAAAAACGAGAGGGGCGGTCACGGCTGTGAACCGGGCTAGGCCGGTAAAGGAAGACGGAGCATTCGGGGCGTCATACCTGTAAGGGCCGGTGGCAGGTCGCGGACAGGCAGCACCTCCTGCACGGTGTACTGCCCAGGGCTGCTCTCTCGCAGCAGATCAGAGGGAACGAGGGGCAAGCGGAACTCCGGGACCGCCGCCATCGCCCCCGATACAGCTCCGCAGCCCGTCACTACCTACACGGGCAGGCTCCGGCACACCAAACAACGCGCGCGGGCCGCGCGCTTCTGGCCCCGCCTCCTTCCCCGGCCTATCAGCGCTCAGCAGGGCCAGCGCCTCACCCAATCAGCGGCTTCTCCGCCCTCTTCGACCGTTAGCTTGGCGTCCCTGTCCTTTTGCTTCCCCTTCCGGCCGCGGCGGTCGTCGGGAAGCGGAAGGACATCGCGGGTCACCACAATGGCGGCGCTGGTGCGGGCGGCCGGGCGAGCCCTGCTGGGCTGCGCCGCGCCCCTGCTCCGCGCCGAGCGGAGCATTAGCAGCGGCAGCGGGGCGCTGTGCGGGCCAGTGCGGCCTGGCCTCCCCGTGCCGCTGTCCTCGCCCCTGGCAGGGCTCACCCGGCCTATCCGCATCAGGGAACCAAAGAAGCGCAAGCAGGTGGATCGGTGGACGGAAAAACGAGCCTTGTTCGGGGTCTACGACAACGTGGGAATCCTGGGTAAGACACCCCGCCTTGCGCTGTGGCCGGAGGGGAGGGACGCTGGACCCACCTGCGGGCGAGCGGCTCTTGCAGCAACGAGCAGGCAGCGAGGGCTGGAGCCAGCTGCCCTTGGAACAGCAGGGTCCAGCTTCATCCTTTGTGCTCTGCCCTTTCAGGTGGCTTCCAGCTGCACCCGAAGAACCTCATCGTGGGGCCCACGTGGCTGCGAGGCTGGCGGGGAAACGAGTTGCAGAGGTGCATTCGTAAGAAGAAGATGGTGGGAGATCGGATGTTTATGGAGGACTACCACAAACTCAACAAGAGGATCCGGTTCTTGTACAAGCGCTTCAATCGCACTGGGAAGCACCGTTAGCACTGACTGTGAGTCTGATATATGCAGCATGGTTTTGTGCTGTCGTGGTCAGAATAAAAACAGCTTTCACACAGTTGGATTCCTGGTGCTTTCTGCAGCCTTTACTCTGTATTTCTGGCCTGGTCCTAAGGTCCTGCTTCTGCTCCAGGCCTGAGCTCTTCTGTGCAGGTTCTGGCCCCTCAATCATTTCCCTACGTCTTTCTCATAAATATCTATTCCAGCCTGCATCCCTGAACTTGACTTGAGAGTCCTCTAGTTCTTGGCCATGCCTCTCACACGCTTTCAAGTCTCTGAGCTTCAGGTTCTGATGTCCTACTTGACAATTTCAGTATGCTCCAGCATCTTTTTCCTGATAACCAAATTTTCAAGTTAGTGCTAAGAGTGTCTGTTAACATCTTCCTGCTTGCCTCCTCCCTCTCCATTTGTGTGTAATTAAGCGTCAATGATCCAAATATTAGTTGAAATGCACCAAAACCTGTCTTAAGAACAGGTTTGTCTTTCACACTGATGACGACTTAACCCCAAGCTAATAATGCTTACTGACCAAGTGGCCTTTTGTTTCTGATCTAGTTAGGATTTGCAAAAGAAACTCAGGCACTTAACTGTTTTAAAAAACTAGCTTCTAGTTTTCCATAACTGTTATAGGTTCCCTTAGAAAAGAAGTTAACGCTGAGTCAAAGCTGGCATCCTGCTAGTCCAGCAGCACAAAGACTGTTACAGCTTCAGAAACATCTGAATGATGAGCGGGTGTTTGCCTGTCTTCTCCAGTAGTAGTTAATTTGGCTGCTAGGTAATTGCAGAGTTTACCTGCTGAGATGTATCTTGTTGAGCGGTGCTGCTTGGTCTTCCAAAGCACTTGGTTGGTAGAGGCAGGGCATGAAAGGAATTTTAATCCTTAGGAAGGTTGTCGCCAAAGTCTCTGTTGAAGCACCTGAAGTCCATGTTCTCAGGAGCAGGGTGGCAGACCTGTGCATTCAGGAAATGCACGTGTGTCCAAGAGGAGACTGAACGAGTACCTGGAAGAGAGCACCTGGGGGTTATCACATACACAAACCTTGGGTGTAGCAAATCTTTGCCTGAAAGTATGTCAGAAACTGGGAAAGTGTCTGAGAAAGGTACCTGGTATCCTTTGTCACCTCTTGGTCCTTAAGCTCCAACTTGGCAAGGGCTCTGTGGGCCAGTAGATCCACAAGCTCCATCTTGTTATTAGCATTGGTTATTGGAACCGTTCTCAGACTGCGGCAGGAAGGTCGCCAAGCTACAGAGGTTTCTTCCGTGACTTGTCCCTTGGCAGCTTGTCTGAAGGCACAGCTTAAAAACCTGCAGTTCTGCTGTGGCTAGTGCTAGGCTGCTCCTTAACCCTTAACAGTCCTACCTGCAAACCATCTGCTCTTATCTCAACCTTGTATTAAGTCTTTGCCTTCCTTGAAGCCATGGTCTTTTGGTTCCCAGGCTATAATTTGTAACATAGTCATTTGTATCTACTGATCTATTAGATCTGATGTAAAAAACCCCATTTTATTAATGGTCTGTATCACCTTATGAACTACCTGAAAGGAGCAAGGAGGTGGCTGGTCTGTTCTGCCAAGTAATAAGTGATAGGACAAGAGGAAATGGCCTCAAGCTGTGCCAAGGGGGGTTTAGATGGAGATTAGGGACAATTCCTTCCCCAAAGGGTACTCAGGCATTGGAACAGGCTGCCCAGGGCACTGCTGGAGTCACCATGCCTGGAAGTGTTCATACACTGTGTAGATAAGGCCCTCAGTGACATGGGTTAGCGGTGGCCTTGGCAGTGCTGGGGAATGGTTGGACTGGATGATCTTTTCCAACCTGGTTGATTCCATGAACTGAAAAGGCAGCTCAGCGTAGGTGCAAACCTCTACCTGTTGCCCTACTCAATACACCAAGTGCTGCATGGAGACTTCCTGCCTCCTTTTCTGTCCTGAACAGAAGCATCCTCCCTTCTGATCCAGCAGGCTTCTCAACATCTTTTGAGGGTAACACCTAACTGTCCTTGGGGCTGCTGCTGGAGCCTGCCTACCCTAGCGGGCAGCGGAGGCCCTGAGACACCTACTCTGGGGACTTGTTGAGTCTTTCTCTTACACCCTGCTCTATGGCAGGAGCGGGCCAGTGGCTTAAACAGCCAACACACACTATGGACCTGCAACGGCACGGGCTCGAAGGGGAAACCGGCCGGGGCAGGTGAAGCCCTCACTCCAAGCTGCCGGGACCACTGGCGATAAGGGACGCGCCGCGCAACCCCCCAGCTCCGCTACTCACCGGCATGGCCGCTGCGCCTGGGGGCGGGCTCTGCTCCTATTGGGTGGCCCAAGGCTCAGTCACAGCCGCTAGTCCTCTCAAACGCCCGGAGCGAAGGAGAGGGCGGGGCTCGGCCCAATCACCGTCTTCGCAGGGCACCAGGGTCGCGGAGTGCTGATTGGCTGCGGCAGAACCCAAAGGCTGTGTTGATTTGCTGTTTACGGTGACTCCTTCCCGCTGCCATTTCTGATTGGCTGTTTGCTCTTAGGGGCGGGGCCTCGTCTTCTATAAGGCTTTTCCGGGATGGGAGTGCCGGTGCGGAGTTGATTGCGGAGCGCTCGGGGGTTCTGGTCCGGTTCGGCGATGTGAGTGTCCGGCTGCGGCGGGCGGAGAAGAGGAGGGAGGGAGAGAGGGATGAGGGTGGGGGATAATGACGGGCAGGCCGGCCCCTGGATGCAGAGCCCCTATCCTGGCTACCGGCGGTGCAGCCGAATGGCGCATTGCAGCAGCTGCCGCCTTCCACCTCCTTCCCCTGGGCTTCTGCTCCCCCGGCCCTCCCCGCTGCCCTCCCCTTGCTCTGGGCTCGCCCCTGCTCCCGGTTCGAGGGGATTCAGGCAGGTTGAGGAGCCTTGGGGCTGCTGCTGGTGCCGGCCCAGCCTGGGGCAGTGGGGTTCAGATGGGTTTGGGGAGTAGGGTGCTCTCTCTTAAGAGTCTTACTAGGTTTTCTCTTTGCACATATGTGTTTCCCTAGGTCTGAGCCAACGCAGCAACCTGCTCCCGGAGCCCCCGAAGAGGGAGCTCCTGGTGGGGCCCCTGCTGGGCCACCCCCCAATCAGAGCAGTAACCGTCGACTGCAGCAGACGCAGGCCCAGGTGAAGGAGGTCAGTAGCTCTGCCAGCCGAGTGCTGGCTTCCCATCGACTGCCTGGACTCTGCTACTGCTCTGCAGTAGGGATGCTCTTGACAGGCGCCTGCTGCTGAGGGGGTGGCTGCTCTTGTGCTAGTGCCAGAAACGCAGTAATAATCATATCATGGTGGCAGAGCTAAAAAGAAGCTGGAGGAGAGATTGCTTTATGTTTAAAAGCAGTTTTATCCCAGCTGGGACTTCTAAGGAGCAGATCTGTTAGATTTTTTTGGTATCTCCTATAGTGCATCCAGAAGAGGTCTCGATCCCTGCCCTTTTGCTTCAAGCAAACAGTCTGTGTGCGGTCTCAATGTGTGATGTGCAGGGACCCTTGCCTGACTTCCCACGGTCGGTGTCTGTAGAGTGGCTGCTGGCCTGCAGTAACGCCTTTATGCCTCACTGGGGCAGCCACATGTAGCTGTAAAGCATTGCAATAACCAGGGAGTAAGCATACGATTATTCTCATGAGGCTTGTTGCATTTGAGAGCTTTAAAAACAGGTGAGAATGCGGGGTTGAAGACCTCGTTTAAGTGTACTTGAACTGATACTTTAACGGGAGGGGGGGTGCGGAGGGAGGCTGACAATTTTTCCTCCCTTCAGAGCAGGTAGTGGCTTGAAAGCTATGTTTTATCCTGGCCTTTTTTCCCCTTGTTTAGGGCTTTTGCTTATTAACATCTCCATGTTAGATTCCTGTCTCTTACTGTTTTCAACTCTCTTTACCAGTACAACTGCTGCTACTGTTCTTCCTTCTGCAGGTTGTTGATATAATGTGTGTAAATGTAGACAAGGTGCTGGAGCGAGATGAGAAACTGTCAGAGCTAGATGACCGGGCAGATGCACTTCAGGCTGGTGCCTCACAGTTTGAAAGTAGTGCAGCAAAACTCAAAAGGAAATACTGGTGGAAGAACTGCAAGGTGAGTTTCCTATTGCCATGATCTCCTTCATCAGAAGAACATTGGGCTAGTCTTCTCCAGAGCTCTGAGAGGATAGTTGGGGTGTAATAATGATTTCAAATGGTTAGGATTTGTTCAGTGTGGAAAGACTTTGAGGTCTTGGCTGTCCTACCTTCGAGGTCTGTCTTATGGCCCCTGGCTGTCTGAGAAGATGTGAACTTGTCAGTCTGGTCTGAGTATTACTCTTTAATAATCTCTCTCTCCAGATGATGATCATGATGGGAGTGATTGGTGCCATTGTGGTGGTGGTGATTGCAAGTAAGTACTGAAAAGCTCAGGATCAAAAGTGAAGAAGCACCAACTCTACAGTACCTTAAACTCTTTCTTTTAGATCTGAGATCTGGAGGGTCTTGGTTGCATAAGTATTAACTTCAGTCCTTGGGGAAGGGAGGTGGTGGTGCTAGAAACTGTATACTTCTGCATAGTAACAGAAGGACCTGGGGGTGGCCATCATTGTAGAAGTGGCAAATTCTGTGTGCCAGGTCAGGTGAACCTGTAAGTATGAGGGGTGTTTACCCTGGAGTGGGTGGGTTGGCAAGTTCCTTCCCTGGTGGGGAATTTGGAGCTCTTTGAGGGACCTTTGGTGTAACTTGCCCTCTTGTTCTTTCCTTTTTCTTTCCATATTGCTTTGTCTCCAGTCTACTTTTTTACTTGAATGCACCTTCTTCAGTCTGCAACCTACTGTCCTGTCACCTTGCCTGTTTCTTCTTATCCCTGAACCTTTCCTTTCCTTACCTTCCACCTAGCTTCTTCATTGATTTCTTTATTGGTTTTAATTAGTCTTCTCTATATGACTCTGAAGCACTCTACTGAACATGGTTAGCCTTAAACAGCTGCTGCAGCTTTAGAGTTTAGAGGAAAGAGAAGTAGAGGAGGAGCAGGTAGCTATTACTCCTGCTCTTCTGCAGGGAATTTCTTCAGTTCATTTTTGGCTGTTTGTCAACTAGTGCCTGTGTGG